CCTCTGGACCCAACTTGAGGCACCTGTCCCCACTTCCATGGTACCAACCACTACTCCCTGCTGCCAGCGCAGAGTGCCCAGACACAATTAGATAACCTGCCAGGCCTTGAAGACTCTGTGTTTCACTTGGCATGGAGTAGGCACACCACAAGCATAAATATAAAAGTATGTTCCAAAATACCAGGTATGAAAGATACCAGCCACTTGACTTGAAGTAGCAGTATTTTAATACTTTTGTGAAACAGACATAAAAAGCTTCTCTTAGCAGCTCGGGGGTTAAGAGCACATACTACTCTTCCAGAGGACTAAGTCTGATTTCCAGCACCCATGTCAGCAGCTCGCTCCAACTCCAGAGTGATCTGACGCCTCTAGCTTCAGTGGCTACCTGCACACACAGTGGCGTGCGCGCGTGCACGCGCGCACACACACACACACACACACACAAACATACATATACATGATTAAAATAATAACAATAAATCTTCAAAATTTTTAAAGCTCTCTTGCAAGGTAGAGGCACAGGCTAACTTGGACTGGATAGTAGGACTCTGTCTCAAAGACACACACACATGAAGACCCAAGTGAGAGAAGGGTAGAGTACTAAGAACACACCTGCCGGCTCTTTAGAGGCCTTATATGTGGGCGTTTTCTCTACTTTGCCTCCTCATTCATTCCCTCTCATCTAAGTCAGACCTTCTCTGAATCAGGATTACCCTCTGTCACTTTTTAATGGGAGAAAGCCATATTTCTAGCTCATGAATAAAACATTAGCCAGTCCTGCTAAGTACTGACAGTGACCTAAAGCTAACTGTTGCCCAGGGACCAACCTGCTTTTCTCACACAAACTCTTGACTTGCTGATTCAAGTGGGATGCCAGCCAGCTTGGTTTGCATGAAAGAGTGATGAGATGGCATATCTTCTAAAGAGCGCTATCCCCGTTGGGAGCTAATGAGATATTAATATTTCAGATACAGAAAGGATAGTGAGGTCTGGTGTGGAAGAAATAGCTGAGACTCACTGGGCATCTCTATGTACAGCTTGGCATAAACAAGGGTCTCCTCAACACGATGAACAAAATGTTATCATATGTCCATTTGTAGCATCAAAGCTCTGACGTGTTATGACTTCCCTCAAGTGTGGAGGATGGGTTTGACCTTCTACTGCTCGGACTCCAGAAGTATTCCTCTTGTGTTAAACAGCCTTGTGTCTCCTCTCAGACTTAGCACAGGGAAGAGGTACAGAAATGGTGGATGGCTCCCTTTGAGAGCACAGAGTTCTTAGCAAGATGCTTTCAGTCTGTTCTTCCCACCAATATGGAAAAAATACAAAACTTCATCCATCAAGATCGAAGACAAGAAGTGGTTTCACTTAGAGAAAACTGTCGTTCTGTACTTTAAGCCCTGTCCTGAGAAGGGGGTTAAAGGTCCCGTTTATTGCACACAAGAATCAAGTTTAGATGGGATAAGCGGTTGAAACTTTGCGTTACGGAGGCCAATTTTTTCCCCAGCTTAAATTTAAACATTTAAGAGTGCTCAGTATACAGAAAGTACTGGAAAAGTATGTGTTAAGTAAATTGAAATCTGATCTAACAACAACAAAAAAGGCCAAAAAAACCAAACAAACCCAAACAAGCAAACAAAAACAAAACAGGTACTGAGCTTTCTAGCTCCCCATTGATAGATGTTTGGAGAATAAGGTTCTCGCATTATTCTTATCCTTGGGATGTTATGTAATAGCTAAAGAAGCTACTCTCTCGATGCCAGACACGATCAGAGACACTTTGCAATGCTCATCTCATCTAACTGTTGCACAAGAACAGAAGAGGTTTGCAGAGCTTAAGGCATGCTCAGTATTACAGACACTACGTGGAAGTGCTGGGATTCAAAACCCAGGCTCTTGTCTCGTTAACATCTTGTTCTGTGGTCTGGCTAGATCCAAAAATTTACAGGTCCTTTCCCGGTTATGATAAATCTACGCCTAAATCTAATATCTGCACTGAAGGTTAGTACTCGAACAAGGGAGATATTCTTCTCCAGCAAATGCCAGTTTCCATGGAAATTGTATCTAAGGCTGTTGGGCATCATGACAGTTATGTGTTCAAGCTAACGCCTGACTTGTCACTGACAAGACAAAATTCAAGCTTCTTAGCATGTTATTTAATATGTAGCTGCCTGCTCCACCCCCCCCCCCCCGACCTATTGGAGAATTTATTCTAGAATCCCTTGGGAACAACAAAGGCTGCAAATGCCCATGTTGCTTTATAAAATGCTTAGCATGTGCATAGGACTGACACACCTCCTCCCATACACTAACCTCACCTCTGGCTTATTAGCATGCCTGGTGTGGTACCAATGCGCTTACACCATTTGCTCAGAGAACGAGGACGAGAAAATGCCTTTATAGGCTCAGCAGACAGACCTTTTCCGAACTTTTTTCACCTAAGGTTTATTTGCATCTATAGATCAGAACCCAGAGGTAGAGATGTCTAAGTGTGTTTTATAATAAGAAGGTATCGATTATTTTTGTGTATCAGGATACTTTCTGTCTGTTTATCTCTCTGTATTACTGCCTATATTCAATACATTTTTTTCTATCTTAGTTTTATTTTATTTTTTGTTAGTTTTTTCCTTCAGTTTTTGAGACAGGGTCTCACTATGTAGCTCAGGCCATCCCTGGACTCATGTCAATTCTCCTGCCTCATCCTTCTTTGTGGTTGGGTTAGAAGTGTGTGCTATCGTACCTAATTGTATTTCCATTTTAACTGTTCATCAATCCATCCATCCATCAACATGTCAGGGGTGTGGTTATTCGAAGGAGGAACACTCTGCTCATATCTCATATCTATCTAACAGTATCATGAGAGAGAATGAAAGGTAGGCCTACTCCACTCCTGCTTATTGTGTAGGATGTTCCTCAAATTAGTTCCTCTTCCATGAAGCCACCTGAATACTATGGTCCCTCTTTATCTCCTCTGCCTTTCATTCTCATCGTATGTGCCTATATCATAATCCACATATTACAAAACCTCAGTTCAGATGGGAGTTGTGTTCTAAAGCATGCGTGGCAGGACAGACTAGTTACAATTTTCAAAATCTTCATATAGCCTACAGGAAGATTATGCTGTACAGGAGACAATCTCCCAACAGGCTCCTCGCAGCTCTCGGTGTGAAATGACTTGCTGTTGCTATGGTTAAAATGGCAGAGAAGTCTTCATTGATCACCAGTAGGCTCGCTATGGTTACACAAATCCTGAGACGTTTCCAGAATAACAGCCATGAGACCAGACGGAGCCTGGGCACTGCAGAGGGGCCCTGCCACCTCAGCTGTCACTCTGGGCCTGTGAGCACCGAGGGGCTGGTGTAAACCACTGCTAGAGCCATCCACATCGTTGTCTCTTTCACATAATTGCACGCAGAACACAGCTCCGCTGGCCCACCTGGCACTCAACTCTCTCAAGTGGACGCTGAACTAGGGATTTCTTGAGCAAGCACATGGATTACATCTAAGGTAACCTAGGCAGAGCCTGCTTGAACAGGGCTACCTCGACCATCCTTGGGTGTATAAGATGCTTCACAATGCCGCTGCCTGCTCCCCAATCCTATCTCTTTACTGTCTATATTCTGATTCCCCTCACCTCTCTTGTTCCACCAACATGACCGTTTATGTCACACTTCCTGCTCTCTCCTTTAGCATTTCTTTACTTTATACCGAGCATGCATTCATCCTCAACACTTGGCTCAAGTGTTTCCTCTTCACTGATGGGTTGACTGGACTAGCATCCCTATTTGCCTCCCTTCCTTCAACCCATCATCCTTTGACATGTGCGTCTTCAATGCTCCTCCATGCCTGACTCTGGACTTGGCCAGGAAGGTGTTTTGGGCAACAGATCATCAGTGCTGGTGAAGTGTGAGTGCGCTGCTGTCCTGCTTATCTGCTTCCACAGAGAACATTTCTGTCTTGTGGTGATGGCCAAGGCTAAGTCTAGGTATTCAGATTCTCCATCAGCCACCTTCCAGAGCTGCAGACGTGTGAGCAACTCCAGCATGTGGACTAGTCTGGAGTCCAGATCATCTGTCCCCAAGGACTCACAGTACAAAAATTCTGCTTTCAGTAAGCATTGCTAATGGCGAAATGGAGGAGTACTTCTCTAAAGACTTCCTGGTCCCTCCTGAGGAAACGCAGCTGCCCTCTCACTGGTGCAACCTCTGAATCATGTGCTTCCTTTATCACAGACAGCATCCTTGACCACTGTGAGCATCAGATGGCTGAATCACAATAGGCCTGTGTTTGCAAGCTTGCTTCTCCTCCTAAGACTGTCCTTGCCAAGAGAACATCTTTGTGAGCGAGTGAGGCTTAGTCAAAACAGTTTGGGCACATCAGAACTGGAATCATGGCTTGGCTAGTAGAACATTTCTGAAGCTGCACATCTGGGGCTGTGAAAGGAGGGCTGCAGCAGCAGCAATTTTATAGTCCCCAAGAGACATGCAAAAGAGCAAACCCACAAAACCCGGGCGGCTCAGAGTAGGCCATTTCAAAGGGCTCAAGAGATATTATTTGGCTAAGTGAATTAATGACCCTTCCATAGCAAAATTCTTAGGGGGGGGGGTAGGGAACACCAGAAATAGGACATCTTTTATCCCATTTCCAGCTCCTAATACCATAGCTGCCCAGAGCATTCTTTAGCCTCTTATTTGATTTATAACCAAGAAGGGTAATGTTTTAAAGTCCTAAGCCCACTTGTACAATTAAGAAGTACCAAGTACCTCAGAGGATAATGTTTTCAACTTAACATCAGCACAGAAGTTAAATGCATCTTACTTAATCTTTTATTTGAAAGCAGGAAGATGCTGTTTGCTTTGTGAGTCTATTCTTTCGGCAGTCTTTCTGGGGGCTATGCATACTGGCTTTGAGCTTCTTGCCTGTGCTTGAGAAGGCCCATGAGTACCCCCAATGGGATGCACTCCTCCACAGGGCATTCCCACAGGGGAACAGGTACTCACCCATCTGAAGACAGGGCGCCCTCCTTTAGAGTCACTGCAAGAGCAAGAGGGAGAAGGAAAAAGGGGTGTTGGTAGCAGGCTGGTTAAAATGAACGACTCTTCTACCCTGGTACCCAGAGGACTGTCTGTCCCCAAACACATACCTACATTTTCTGGTGCAATTTATGGGCACTTTGACCACTTCATGGGCAGGAATCCCTGTGCAGGTTTAATCTAATTGCTTGTTTTTACCACATGGCCTGGCAGAGAGAACTATTCAGCGTGTGTTCTAAATGACACTCGGATTTTCCGAGCATGTGCAGTGTGCTGAGCATGGTCAAAATACTCCTCGCAACAATCCCACAAGATGAGAGGTACCACAGTCTCCTCTTCACGGGGCAGGAAAATGAGGCTCAGTGAGTACTGTGCTCAAGCTGAAATGGCTACCAGTAAGGAACCGAGCCCCCCAAAGCCTGCTTTAGTACGACAGACTAAGTCTGGGTACCAGCGTGGAAGAGTGATTCTGATACTGGCTTCAGTGTGATAGCCACTGAGTTAGGGGAACTACAACTGTGACATTGCCCCAGGCAGATAAATGAACAACCAAAGGCTGTATCAGCTCTGCTAGCACACCATCTGTTGGTACGGATGGTCACGGCAACGCAGACATTAGCACAACGCCCACTGTTTAGCGCCCCGATGTATGCATATGCCTCATGCTCACTGGAGGAACAAGAAAAGGTGTTTAAGAAGTCAGGAAGATGACTTCTTAAGGGTAAGAATGAAAAGGACTGCAGGAGGTTTTTTTTAAAAAATAGCAGACGTAGAGATAAAAGAACACAGAAAAATGGCTTCCAAGGAGGCCTCCCATGCTACGGAGGATGCAGGTTACAGGGGGCCGAGGGGACCCCAGTAAGTATGTCAGGTCAAGCTGACTCTCCCCTTTCCCTTCATCCTCCTGCACTGGCTAGCTTGCAGCGTGGGTTGGGTAGTATACACAAAGGTTCGCTGCTTCCTCGCTTGTAGACTTTTCATTTTCTTCCTCTTGGACGGATTCCCAGTGATGCAATGCGGTACTCTTGGGGGAAGTGGACTGGCTTGGGAGCGATAAGGGGCCAGTTCCTACACGTGTGTCATTTCACGGGCAAGCTACCATAGCCTGTGCGTGCAAACAGCATTAATAACGTTGGTGCCCCTTCGAAAAGGAGTTTGTTACATGGGAGTGGGGTAGAGGGGAAGGGGCTTGTGATCCAGGCACTGGACTATGACTGGCTGGTGAGGGTGGGCCGTGTGCATCTTCTTACCTTCTTTCGGGGTCTTGGGGACAGCAGCTGGCTGCCTGTGGAAGGCCTGGAGGTTCACATGTGGGGGCTTTGAAGGCTTCGGGGGAGGCGGGCCCAGGGTTTCAATGGAAGGCAGTGGCTTTGCTGTGGGAAGCTGGTGATGCCTGCTCTCTGGCTTTTCTGAGTATGGGTTGGAAAACATGTAGGGTATTATTTACATTTGTTGGACAAAACTGACCAGTTTGCTGGCCTCGACCCCCTACCCCCTCTCCCTTCTGAATAGTCAACATCCAGGAGGGAGAACACTCTGACCCAAACACACACCTGATTTTATATCACTATCTTGCTGATCTTCTGCTATTTCAGCAAAACCTGGATTCACATCTCCAGATTCTTTTCTCAGCGAATGACACTATCCTACCTTTCCACCTTAAGCTGACACATATTCCTCTCGGCTTCTTGGTGCTCTACCACTGGCTTGGAAAGCCTTCATTGACTCTTCCGTATCTGAGACTTGGGGCGGACTCCTGACTATGGAAGGCTGATTCCTTTCTTAGGAATTTCCACTTGTTTTCAGGCTGGACTCTAGTGACAGATCCCCTAAAATAGTCCTGACTTATCCTGGAATCCAGGCTAGGACTAACCACTCTCCCGTCTTCAGTGTACAGCCTGAATACACAGTGTGGGACCATAAAGCAGAGTAGGAATTGATGTCTGAATTTCCAGGGCTCTGGTTTCCAGGATCTCAGAATCTATGACTTCAGTGTCTTAGAATTTTCTAAACTTCCCCAGTAATGTGTATTTCTGCTTTCTGTACTCATAAATAGAACTCTAACAGGAATTCCATTATTACATTTGAAAATCACATGTGATTTCTCTTGACAGAGAAGGACACAAAGTTTTAAATAAATAGGGCATCTCCATTCTTAGTTAACACAACACAGTAGCTGTCTGTATGGGTCATCCATGCTAAAACTAACCAAAGAGAAAGGGTTGCAAATGTGCCTCTGGGAAGTTCATGTCCTCTACAAGCTAAGATGGGAGAAAATAGATGCCATTCTTTCCCTTCCATTAGATGCCACATCTTGTGCAGCTTATATCCAAATTATTCTTCTTCTTAGTCTTTTAATTGGAAGTTCATTGAAATGTTGGGGATTTTAGTCTTAATCAAACCAAGGAGAAAACACAGTAAAAATGAAATATCACTTACTAAGTACTTTTTTTTTCCCTCCCAAGCATTGTGCTAAGCTAATACATGGTTATCTCATTAACCTCTCTCCATAGTTTCACCTGGGAGATGACCCACTCTTTTTTGCTTTTTCCCCGTACATCTTTCTTTTCATTCATCTTGTTTTCCATCTTTCATCAGACAGATGTGCCAAGCCATCTGTCTATCTATCCATCTACCCATCCAATCAAGCACTAAATACTTTCTGAAGACTTATTCAACCTGATCTTGTTTTAGGGGGAATAAAGTTGTGAAGAAGATAAATTTATCCTCTGAAAATCTCCATCTTATAGACACAAGTATATGGCAATTTTCACTGGGGAGAGGCAAGTGACAAGAGAATACCGAAGAACTGCAAGAAGCCCATGGTTCACAGGGACAACAGAGATGATTTAAACAGTGTCCTCTCAGAGAAGGGGACACTGCCACAGAGATTGCAAAGGAGGAAGAGGTCATGTGGCCATTAAGAACCTGGCAGAAGAGTTCTTTTGGCAGATGGCTTGACAGTGCTCAGGCCTGGGGTGGAACCAGTGTCTTCTATCTAAAGACTTGGCGAGACAAGGGGGAAGGAGATGCAGACAAGGACCAAACTGTGTGAGGCATTGTTGAAAGGCTGAGCAGATTTTGAACAGTGTGATGTGGTCTGGTTCGTGCCAGTTTAGGAGCCCACACTATCTGTGGGGAGGAAAATAGAAAACAAGTGGGCAACAGTGTGAAAGCATGGAGACCAGCTGGTAATGGCCCAGTAAGAGAAAGATGTGGAAGAGACTAGCGTAGGACAGAGATAGAAGTTGAGGGGTTCTGAACATAATTTTAAGGTAGAGCTGAAGAGCCGGTTGATGGAGTCATAGCATAGAATAAGGACAGAGATTTGCGAATCCCACCTAGGTTACTACCCTGGGGAAAAAAAAAAGATATGAGTTCTGTGCTGTTCTTCAACACAGAGAAAGCTGGTAATGAATTTGATTCATAGAGTATACTATGCATCAAGAAGCTTATAAGTCATCAACACTCATGCAGTTTGTGGTAGATAGAGCTGGGGTGCAAGTCCAACCTCAGCCAGGCTCTGCTGCCATGGAATTCTGGATGCAATGCTTGTTCAAATCTGAGACTACAGTATAACAGATAGGTCCACAGCCACCTTCTATTGCTAATTGCGCTGGCCACAAACACTTCAAGTCTGCAGGGTTGGAATTAAAGAAAACACAATGGTCTCACTTCCAGTCCCATGGGGGACTTGATTTCTTACCTGGAACCAGGCTGCCAAGCTCACACTCATAAACAGGCTGGCACGCACTGCTCCTGGGGCTCCCCTCAGCCCCAAGATCTTCTGGGCTATCGCTGCCATACCAAGGAAGTGATGAAGGGGAGGCTTCAGAGGCCATGGGTGATCTCTGGGCCATCAAATGGCTCTGCGGAGGAAGAGTCTGAACTCCCGTTGCCTCCAGGCTCTTCTCTGGTTTTCCCTGAGCAAGCTCTGTGGTTTTCTGACCTTCCAGATGGAGAGTTTTATTCCCAGAGTTGGTGAGGTGCAGAGCTGGGGACATATCAGCCTTCTGAGATGAAACTTTCTCCCAGTTCCAAAGCTTGTATCTGAAGCTGCTGATGGTCATTCTTTTCTCTTTGTTGGACATCTCAGCTCTTGTTTTATTCACATCCAGTGGTGTGTCAGCTTCGTGGGAATTTCTTGCAGGGCACTCAACAGATTTTTCTGGAGGTCCCGAGGAACTTGAAGCCTTCTGAATTTCACCTCTCTGGGCCGACAGGGGCCGATGCTGGTGGGATGAGAGGCACTTCCTGTTAACCGGACTCTGAGTTGGCTGTGTGTGGCCCCTGCCATCCTTCTGGGAAACACCAGCTGAGAACTTAATAGGACCTGGAAGAGGTGGGTCTTCGAACTTTTGAAATTTGGCTCGGAGTTCCTTGAAGTTTCTTACCCCTTCCTAAAGCACAAAGAGGAACAAAAGTGTCTGGTTAACCTGGGAAAACGTCCGGCCTGATCGGCTGGTTTCGGCGTACATGTTAAAGGTCTCCAGTGGCGGATGTGGCAGTGCTCTTCCCCAGCTGAGCAACGTTAGCTCGTGCTGCTGCCCTCTCTGTGAGATGGGTGAAGCAGTTTCTCCCTCTTAAATTTGGCCAAATTGGATATTCTCGAAGCATGGAAAGGCCAAGCAGAGACGGTACGAGCAATGGATCATAAACCTTTTGGGTGTTTTGTTGAGACAGGGTCTCACCCTGCAGCCCCGCCTGGTCTGAAACTCTATGTAGACGAGGATCACAGAGGTTGATGCCTCTGCTGGGATTAAAGTCATGTACCAGCACCTCTGGCTGATAAGTCTTTTGATGCCCACCCCCAAAGTTTAAATCTGCTTTGGCATAGAAAAATTGTCTTCATAACATAATCTCATGTTTGCTCAGAAGATAATGGAATTTTATCTCTACATAAAACAATTAAAACATAACTGGTCTTACACCAAATGAGTGGTTTACTACTGATCTGGAGTGCTATTGATCTTGCCCTGCCCACGCTCCTGGCCTACTTGAATCACAAAGAACATTCCCGTGTCCATGTCAAATGTTCCCTTGCACTTCCTGATTGATTTGGAGCTCCCTCTCCATCAAGACTGCCGCTAGGAAGACCAGCTGGGGGCCGGCAGTTTCCCTGCTTCCTCAGTGTGCTCCTATCTCTTTCTAACTTGGCTGTTGAATTTCACACTGTGCAGAAGCAAACTGGAGAAAGCTTATGCCCGCATTCCGACTCTGACTTTTCTCATCCAGAAAAACACTATGTCTTAACTTCTCATGCAGTCATGTAATAATATGAACACTGGAAGGGCTGGAGTTACTACACAGGAAGTGTTCGGTACAGGGCCTGACACATAGTGGGACTGTGATGAAATAAAAGCCATAAGAAGCTAGATAATACTCTTCTGCTATTGGTTCCCTTTGGAGAACAAGTCAAATCAAGCATATGAAAAGCTACCATATACCATTTGGTAATGATAGCCCTGGCCCAGGGCAGAAGGTAGGGGTGGGGGATAGTGAGGGAGCGTCCAGGACTACATCGTAAGCTGGTTGTTAGTCTAGCCGAACATGCTTGATGCTTTTTTCTATTGTTTCCACCTTCCACTACTATAGCTCATTTATTTTTGTAAATGCATCCAGCCATCTTTTGCCTGCATGGGAGGTGGGAGGACATTTAATGGAGTCATTTCAAAAGTAAGAGCCACTATCCTTTCCTGTTCACATTTCAAGTTTTCTTTTCCTTCCTCTATCCTCCTTTCCTCCCTCCCTGCCCTCCTCCCTTCCTTTAAAAAAAGTATTTTAAATTGCATGTGCATAGGCCAGTCCCATGGCAGTGACTTTGGATTTTGCCAGCTGAGGGAATGCTGTGACCTTTCCTCACCGTGTTTATAGTTGCCTCACACCTGCCCTCTGAAGACTTAGGAAGGGGGGGAGTTGCCAAGGGGCAGAAGGCAGGTGGCTGCAAGCTGGTTTGTGTGCTATCCATTGCTATTTTTCTTCCTCTCGCCCCCACTATACACATCCGCCCCAGAGCTCACTTAGAGTTCCTTCTACAAATCACCAAGGGTTTGTTTCTTATACTTGAGCCAACTAAATACTTGACCAGCTAAATTGTACACACACCCATTCTCCTGATGTGGCAGAAGCCTGTATGGCGAGTGAGATCAGGGATCCTGGAGTGTGAAGTCTCAGATGGGTCCTTCTGTAGCCAGGTACCTTATGAAATCCTTTAGATGACTCTAAGCCAGTTTTCCTTACTATAACACAGGACTTATTCAGGTGAGATGGAGGATTAGGAGTTCATGGCCAGCCTGGGTTTCTTTTATGAGAGCAGGAGACCTGTTCTCATAAAAAGAACAGATGTGTGTGTGTGTGTGAGAGAGAGAGAGAGAGCGAGAGAGAGAGAGAGAGAGAGAGAGATGGAGATGGAGACGGAGAGAGAAGCACTTCTCAGAACAGTTCAGGATCAAATAAAATAACAAATGGACATACTCCATGGTATAAAATACATGACCTTGACTACTGAGAGATTTCAGTTCAAAACCATAAAAAGGATTGACACTGCTGTGCAGCCAGTCTCTAGTACTCTTCACCTTACAAAATCAAGACGCTACACCCCTCAAACAATAGCTCCGTGATCCCTTCCCATTTCACATTCAGACTCTCTAAGTTTGACTCTTCTGGGTATTTAAATAAGTTAAGAAAGTACATTTGTCTCATTATGATTGGTTATTTAACTTAGCACAGTATCTTTAAAGTTAGCTGTGATGTGGTAAGTGTCAGCATTTCCTTTGTCCCAGTCAGACAAGCTGTGTAGTCCTACAACCTCTCCTAAAGGCCAACCCGGCTTATGTACGTAAGGCCTCTGCGTATTTTAGTTACTGGGTATTAGACTTCTAGACCACTCTGTGTACAGACATTATTTGGATAGCCTGCTTTCAGTTCTCTTGGGTGTGTTCCCAGATGCTGAGTTGCTGGATCATATGGTAATTCTATTTTTAACTTGTTAGAAACCTCCATACTGTTTTCCACAGCAATCACATAATTTTACTTTTCCACCGCTGGTACATGGAAACTCTTAATTCATCAAAATGCGCACCAACTCTTCTTTTTCTGTATCAGCCATCCAATTGGATATGAACTGGCCAGTGGTTAATGGTTTTGAAATAATGTAATAATGACTCTTTTCTTTACTACTATGAAGCCATGTGAACTAAAAAGCTATTACTTAGAAGGATGTAAGCTCTGTAGAAATGATTATGCAAAAATTAGGAAAGAGAATTGTGCATTTTAAAGCCAGGGCTTATGCAAAGATCACTGGCTCAGGGTGGGGGCAAGCCTGATTAGGCTTGGCTCATTTCCTTTTCCAATAAATGTTTAAGTGCCTACTGTGGGGACAAGATACAGTTCTCAACACTGAGCAGCTCTTCTCTCAGATGCTATAGTCCGGGAAACATGGACTGTGAAGTATAACATACAAGAAAATCTTAGAGGCAGGAGCTACGTGGAGAATTAGGTAGGTGGAAGAGTGTGTGGTCCCACTTCTGACCTTCAGAGGTGCTTTAGATAAGTCATTGTTTCACTCAGTCATGTACTAGAGTGGGTGTTGGTCCTGCCTGATCTTCAAAGCCTCTTCCAGCACCACAGTTTCCTTCTTCATGGTCTGTACTGAAAAATGGATGGGATTTGGGCTTTACTATTAATCACCTCTGAGGATTCGGAGTTGAGGACCTGAGGATCGCAGTATGGGGATGGGCTGGGAGGTGACAGTGAGTTAGAGCCTTCTGGCCGAAACCACAGTCCAATTTTTTTTTTTTTTTTTTTTTTTTTGGTGGATCTCATATCCTCATGATCATAAGTCTCCTTTAGCCAGCAAGCTTTTTCTGTCTTCTTGCTTTTGTCCCTACCTTGAAGCCTTTCTCATTTATTTTGGAGATGACTTTTTCTGTGGTCTCTTTGCTTTGACTCTGGGCTCTTCTAATCCTTCATTTACCCAGCTGTTAGACAAATCTGTTTAGCAGCACAAATCTGATTGAGTAAGTCCCTTATGTGCTAAAAATCCTTCAAATTGGCTTTCTCAAGCTCTCAAACCAGCTCAAGTGCATTCTCTGATTGGCTCAGAAGTCTCCTAACTCCCATCCTGTTAATCTTCTGACGTCCCTGTGGCCCCTCCCCAGCAGAGCTGGGGGTTTCTTACCTCATTGCATTTTGAACATTACCCTGTCACATCTCTCCACTTTTTAAAGGTACTATTTCTTTTTGCCTGGAATGTCCATCTTTCTCCTCATTCCTCGAATTAGCCAATCCCGTTCATGTTACTTTAGGAGCTAGACACTGAAGTTACAGTGATCCCCAGACTAGGTAGGCCTTTTCAGAACCATGAAAGAAGAGAAAAAGACATCGGGATCACTGTAATCCAGGGGCGCATTGCAGTGTATACAGGAGACTGTTGCATACACCGCACAATAGAGGCTCTTGCTGCAGTGGAGGTACAGGAAAAGCTTCCTGGATGTGAGCCGTGTGAGGATGTCCGGGGCACAGGGACCCCAGGCCTAGAGGCACGGAACAGCCTGCTGTAGGTGGAAGACTGAAAACTCCCACTCATTCTTGCTCCCAGTGTCAGAGGGTGAGGCTGCAGCCGGGCTTCTAAGAGTGCTTGAGGCGTGCTCTAGAGCAGGGAGCATGACCGATGGCTCTGCCACTGAGGAACCAAACACAATTTACGGTGGATACACCTTCCGCCTCCCCTGTGTGCAAACCAGCCACACAGCCTTCACCCTCTGCCTGCCTTCCCCTGAGGATAGCCTGACTCACCCAGCTCAGTGCAGTGAACCTGCCCTTCACACAGAGGCTATAAAGGCCAGAGTAACATCTCCAGGCAGTCTCTCTGCTGAAATGTTCTAAGCAGAGGCATCCAAGTTTCCAGGCCCCAGAGAGGGAGATGAGTACAAGAGCCCCTTTGGGGAGCTAAGCGTGGCAGAGGTGGCCATGGCTTCCCAGGTGTAGTGCACGATATTCTTCCTAGTGCTCTTGGTAATTCCCAAAGCAATCTATAATAAACCCCTTGCAGTTTGCAATAGTGACCACAGATTTGGTCCTCTGCAATGGGAAACACCGACAGATTCACCCTGCTAGACTTCTCTCCATAGCACCACAGAGCACCCAGCATACTGTCCATCTCCCTCAGTAAGGGCAGAGACTCCACGGACACAGGCCCCTGCTCAGATTTTAGTTTTTGATCACTGCTGTAATGTCAGAGCCTAATGAATATTTGTCTTACAGCAGCTGCTCAATAAAAATCTGGTGAAGCGATGAAGATTTACAAGTCTTTCAGAATCAAGATGATACAAACACAGAGTCCTACTTATCTTGGCCTACCTCTAGTCCTGTGGTTCACAAAGCCTGGAGTGAGTGAAGT